TAAATTCTACATTTTAAGTTTATAAATCATGACAAAACTTAGACAAAAGATGGTAAATACATAAAGACAACACAGTGGTAAAAATTAAAAGCTTCCATTTAAAAATCAACAAATCAAAATAATTCAGCAATCTAAGGGGCCAGTCCTCTAATTCTACTTCTATAATTGTATTCTGGACAATCTCAAATAAAAAACCAAATTTATGTAAAAAAAGAACAGAACAATTTTTAGCACAACAAAATTTATGTGTAACTCAAATGTCCAACAATAAGAGAATGGTTGGATAAATGGGTAATATATTTACATATATGTCCTGCCTGAAAACAAATAAAGCATGAAAGACAATCAGTGTGAATTTTAAGTAAAGTTTGATCTTAATGATTTTAAACATGCATAAAAAAATTAGAAAGCAATATTCATAAATATATATATATATATATATATATATATAATTGGTAGCATTGTATTTTAATTTTATGCTGTTTTTTGGTCCAAATTTCAATATTAAAGCTATTATTTTATAATCAGAAAAAGCATTTTGTAATAAAAGCAAGAGTTCTAAGTAAACAATCACTTCTCGATCATTTAGCATTTCAGATGCTGTAATCATGTCTATTCCACAAAAGCTTCTGAAGGAATGGGTTCTTTTAGACCAAACTATGGATTTTTTGAAATAGCATAAAAGTACATTTTAGGTTTGATCTGAGGAACAAAATCATTTAAAATAGTAAAAGTCAATATTAACTAGAGGTAACTGAGTGCTAGAAATAGGTGATAAGTAAAGTAGCTTACAAGAGAAAAGACCAACTACTTTTGGTAAGTTTCAAGAGCTGTTTCTATATGTACTATTAGGTGCCTGAATTATTATTATGTGTGTAATCGAATGCTACCTTTACATGTTCTTAGCACATAAATTCCAGTAACTTTGTAAACTTATTCCAATAAGCTGGATAATGCTTAGTTCTATATACCACTGCAGGTTAAATAAAAAGCAATGTATTGGTGGAACTATTACTTACTGTGGTAGCACAATGAATATCTTTCCATACTGTGGCTTCTCTGGAGAGATCAGAGACTTCAAACAAATTATCAAGAATCACTTCGCCAATCATGTCATGTCTAGAAAACCTGTCAAAATCATATACACTGAAATGTAGTTTTCGGTTGCTTAGTTGATCATATGCCACAGGAAACTGAAAAGTTTCATCAAATAGAGGATTTAAAGTCTTTCTGTGCACGCGGGTCTGAAATTTCTTTTTCCTATCTGGGAGAAGATACATCTTCACGTAAGGGTCGGAAGTTCCTGTGAAGTCTTTAGCAGGAAGATCTAAGGCTTTGATAATTTTCACAACTAGAAGTTCGTTTTCATAATCATACTGGAGGGTAAAGTTAAGTTTCCC